AGAGAGAGAGAGAGACACACAATGAGAGAGAGAGAATGCAGGCGGGATTAAGCACGTCGAACGGGTGGGAGTAGGCCCCTGGCGTAGCGAGTAGGCGAAAGCAGGATCGTACGCACCAGAGCAGGCGTGGAGTGGCCGTAGGCGTGTCGAGTGCCGGCCGCCCCAAAAAACCCTTCCACAAAAAAAAAAACGACGAAAAACAACCGAAAAGAAAAGAAAAAAGAAAAAGCGGACGGACCGTTTGGGCGGACCGAACCGGCATCGCACGGCCCAGATTGCAGGCCGGTCACCACCTGCGGACGGCCCAGATTGCAGGCAGATGAGAAAAGTTTCTCATCGTTTCTCATCGGCCTGCGATCTGCATGCCCGTCACCACCTGCGGACGGCCCAGATTGCAGGACGATGAGAAAGGTTTCTCATCATCTCTCATCGCCTGCAATCTGGGCCGTCCGCGGGTTGTGACCGGGCCGTAACCTGGGCCGGTAGATATGACGTTAGCGATTCTTATAGTATTGTAGATGTAGATGAAGATGTAGATGTAGATACTCGTTCACGCACCCTTCCGTCCAACCGAAGGGTCCCTGCGCACTGTAGATTTTAGGCTCGGGGAAATGCAACTTTTGGTTTGTCCAAACATGTCCCAATGTGGCTTAAACAAGAAAGTTTTGGACTGAATCCAGCCGTCTTCACAGGAGGATATATCCACAGAACTCCTAACATGTGTTTGCCCTCCGTTCAACCCTGAATCAAGTGATGCTGATTGTGGGTCGGAAGACTTCAATCGGCCATTCACTCCAAGCCTTTGCCAAGCCTGCCAATTTCCAACGGAGTCGACTGCGGTGGTCAGTTTAAAGTCAGAAACTTCAAAGAAGTTTTTCCCTTTGACTGGTGAACAGGTGGTGGCCTGCCGAACATAACTGCACTCCCCTGGCATATCGGTGTGTCTCCTGTGAAACGTCAGAGCGGATGACAGCCAACCACCCAACAGTCTGCTTGGGTGAAACCTTGACTCTCCCTCCTTCCTAACTCTTACAAAGGAGCCATATTCTACCCACTGCCTAACATCTTCACCCGAATACAACGCCATTCTCAGTCCAGATACCACGGTAGTCACAATATATTCTATTCTGGTGAAGACGGTTGCATTCGTCCTTGCCACTGTTCTTCTCAGCATATCAGATAGCCTCCACCACTAACCATCCGGGAGTGTTGGGTGCAGAAGACGGCCGCTCTGCGCGGCTAATACTCCTCTGAGTGGTGGTGGATCTGCAAGATGTGCATGCTGCGGCTCCTAGGCAGCATTTTCTCCGTCGTCCTGTTTCTGTTGAGGCTGTGTACTTGCACCAAGTCTGATTCAGGCACAAAGAAAACAAAAGAAAAGAAGTCTTCGAAAAAGCCGAAAAGTTTTAAACAAAAGAGGGTAACACTCACGCTTTTTCCTGGAGATTAACTAAGGATGACAACAGCCACACTCAGCTCTCGGCCCTCATGTCAGTATACCCTGAGAAACTGCTACTTCTACTGTCTTTACCCAAATAGAGTGTACGCCGTACGGCCAATTGTTCGTGTATCTAGACTGACAGTTGCCCTAAATACAGCAACAATGACCGTACGGAGGAAGAAGACGGTAGCCCCTACGAGGCTACCTGCAATCTACACTCAGTGAGACCTAGGCAAGATCGCTGTAGTGCTGTGTAATTATGTTTTGTGTTGTCCGTCTTCACCCGAATACAACGCCCGATCATTATCGCTGTATCTGGACGGGGAGTTGCCCAAAATACAGCCATAACGGCCCGGCGTTGTATTCGCGGGAGAAGACGGTAATGGTGTCTAGTGGTGTCTAGTGGTGTCTAATGCTGTTTTAGTGCTGTTTAATTTTGTTCAGTGACGTTTTCGTTGGGCTTCAGCGCATGCAATCCATGTAATGGATGTCACATTCATTGGAACTCTACAGGAAGTCTAACATAGGACACCAGTTCATTTATCAGTGGGGGTGGGGAAGAAGCGGGGAAACCTTAGGTCTGGCTTCAGCTGCTACTGCTTCCCCTTCATTCCAATGGGCCAATGGAGAATACAATAATACCTTCACCTCGAGAAGGCGAACTGCAAAAGCAAAAGGAGGCAATGCAACAAGAAACGATACGAGGGCTGGCACAGAGAGCGGGCGTCAATAGGGACAACCGTGAAACCCTATAACCTCAGCCACATGGCTGCATGTTACACACACATGCCTCTTTATAAACAGATGAGTCGAGATGACCATTTAGAATCCTGCTGGATACAATGTAGTCTCCAGGGCATTTCCCTCCCTTTCTTATTATTTAACTTCGCATAAGACAAGAAGAAGAATAGACAAACAGTCGAGCACTTTGACCTTGTTGTGGAAAGCGCACCTGTGGAGAGACATCATACGCAAAGGCATTCGCCCCAACACCAGCCAATAGCAAAACAGGATGTTTCCGTGTGGCTGCCTGCACGACAGTGTGTACACAACACGAAGGCAGAAGCACACGCATATCAGAAAGAGCCAAAACCAGGAAAAACAAAAACGTTGCAATTTAACCACGACTTCAGCGGCCTCTATTTTGTCGAAGCTGATTTTATCATTTTATGCCCGCCCTGGCCTTCCCAGCTATATGGTCAAGCCTGCCGCATCACTGCAGGGAGGGGCAACCACATGCTTTCAGTTTGCAACTTCATGGCAAATTCTTCCGCATGGTCTTTTGCTATTCGTCTACGCCGTCTTCTTTTTTTTTTTTGCCATTCTTTTTTCCCTGATACAGCGGAACCTACCCTACAACCCCTGATTTGTTTTCAGATTTCCTCCCAACAGAAATGAGAAGAAAATCTCTACAGTTGGTTGACTCGAAACCTTGCACATCCCCCCAATGATCTTGTTGACACCTTTTGGCTGAACCTTTCCACAGCCTTCCTGTGCATGGCAAAAGTACACATGCACCAGAAAACAGCAGCAGCTACGTTTTTGCTTGGAGTGTCCCTTCAACACAGCAAACAACTTTTACGAGGTCATCATCATTCCCCCCTCCCCCTCCCACGGTACACCCATGCACTGCCCTACTGCAGATCTGGCACTGGAGGACTGACCCTCATGGCTTACTTGATCGATGGGATTACAGATATGCAATGTTACACACTGTGTCACACGGGCCCGGTTAGGTCCGACAGATAGGGGTTCAGAGGCCGGTCAGGCCCAAGGCTGGGCCTTTAGACCGGAGGCGCCACTGTAGGCCCACCGGTTGGCCTTTAGGCCACGATTTAGGCCAGACAGAGGGGCAGGCCCAAACGACATTACCGTTGGGCCTGGCGGCGCTCTTGAGGCTGCCGCCCGCCGGTCTGATCTGAATCGTCACTTTTGACGATTCAGATCACGGCTCGGCCTCGCAGCATAGAGATCGGCCTTTCCACACCAGTACTTAGGTACCAGGAGGCCGCCTGTTCGGGCATTCTGGGGCAGCAGCATTTGGAGGAACGCTGCGCTATTCTGTTTAGAGCGCAGCGCTACAGCAGCAGCGCGAGGTTAGCCCTAGACTGCAGTTCGGGATAGAGAGCCAGCGAGGTACTTACCCGGTACTTACCTGTGGCGCCATAGCTTCAGCGGACTTCCGACTGCAGGAGACTCCAAGGCGCCACCTTGCATCCTGCAGGTAAGGCTTCGGGCCAGGACAGGGTAGTGAGGACTCTCCTCCTCCCTACCTCTCCATCTCTCCCTCCTCCTCTGCTATCTCCTCTTCCTCTCCTTCTTCTTCTTCTTCTTCCTCTTCTTCAGACTCTTCCTCTTCTTCTTCTTCAGACTCATTCTTCATCTTCTTCTTACTCAGATTGGAGACTTAGATACGAGTTGGACAGAGATCAGTGTTGGGACTTCGGTGGTAAGAGGCTGAGATACTTACCGGATTCGAGACTTGGAGGTAGCCGGGATTGATACTCGGCGGCATCACAGATTGGACACCGGTTACATTAGGACTCTGTACCTCCGACATTAGTGACTTATTGTCCACGACATTTTGATCTTGTTCGATGACATTTTGGACTACCATATCGGTGACCTACTGGATTCTATCTCGGTGACATCTGGCGCTGCCTATATCTCCCACCTCCTTCGTCTCTCCTTCCACCTTTCATCTGCGCATGGTTGTACGGGGCCTGAGCATCGTCTATGATTGGCTCAGACCCCACCATCTCACGATTGTTTGTGTTGAGTGATATCTGTATGAGTCCAGTCTATGTGAGTCAGTCCATTTATCAGCCTTGCGCTGCATATATGCTCATCCTATATTGGTTGATCCTTGGTTCTGTCCATACTTATTGAAGTATTCACAAGTATGCAACATGCAATGACCAAACACGGACTGAGACACAGCTGATTTTTTTGTTTTGCTCATGGAATGTATGCCTTACCGAGCTTCCCGCTTGTTGCTGAGTTTTCTAAGGGAGGAGGTACCGGGTGCTTGGAGGCCGTGTGGCCTCGGAAGTCGCTCGCCAAGAGGCAAGCAGGCCGCTACATCTCCAGGAGGAGCAAGGTCCTCATTATCGGTGTGCAAGTTTGGCGACACACTGGTTGGAGCACTGGCTGGAGCAGCGCTGCTGGGGAGGAGCAAGGGCAGGAGGAGGAAGAAGACCAGGAATAGGAGGAAGGAGCGCCAGAGGTACTTACCTGGCTATGGTGGATACCATCTTCATCACCTTGGTGGGCACTGCATCTGGAAGGCCCCCGTGGGGGTAGAGCTGCACCAAGAAGCTTCGAGGCAGAGTCAGGCATGGCGGCCTGAGCTCGAGCAGCCATAGCTGCTTTGTGTTGTCCTTTGCACAGCAGGGCGGCACCCTGGTAATCCGCCATAGCCTCGGCCGTGAGAGGAGGAAGAAGGGTGGCCATGGCTATGGACAGGAAGAGATAAGGAGGAGGAGAGTGGTTGGCAAGGAAGAAGAGCATTATCATTGGTCTATGCTGTTGAACATCATCATCTTCTTCTTCTTCTCTCCCTCTCTCTCCTCTCAAGTTCATTCATTTCTTTTTCAGTAATTGGACGGCATTGTGCTTTCTGATGAATGTGTACTTCGGAATTGGCCAGGATCATAACAGATAAGCAACCAGTGCATGAATATGAATTGATTGACCAAGTCCAGGAATCAAGTGATTGATTGGATTGATTCGATTTGAGTTACATTTCCTTTGGTTCGAGAAGGTTTAATTGACTGATTGATTGATTGATTGACTGACCGCTGACCAAAAGAGAATCACACATGTTGCCCCATATATGAACATCAGCTCGAAATCAGCTGAAGGGCCCAGATACTGTCGGGCTGATATTCATATTTATGAAATGTGACACGAAGGGCACAGATACTGTCACATTTCATGTGTCAAGGAGAGGTGGTGGGGGGGTGGGGGGGGGTAAGGGACAGCGAAGAATACTCCCCACCCCTTCGTTTTCCCCCATTAAGAGGTGGGAAAGATGAGAGAGGGGAAAAGAAGGGGTGGCCAGTCACAATGGGCGGGCAAGGAATGAGATGGGGAAGAAAAGGGGGGGGGAAGGGAAACCAACCTCGTTGGGAGGTTGTTCACAATAGTGATCGGAGGTTTCATCAGGGCCACTCGTCCTTCTTCTCTCATTAGAGAAAGGATTAATAAGGTCACTTAATGGTGGGTGCATGGTGTCAGGAGTGGTGGTTGGATGGTCCACACACAAGTATGATTGTGCCGGCCGAGAGTTCGAATCCTGCTTGAAGCCATTGTGTTATGGCCCTTATGGGCCAATAAAAGCAAGCTGCCTGCACAGAGGGAGTGGTGGCTGGATGGTACACACCAAGTATGATTGTGCAGACAGAGAGTTCGAATCATGCTCAAATGCAGACAGACAGACACAGAGAGAGAGAGAGAGAGAGAGAGAGAGAGAGAGAGAGAGAGAGAGAGAGAGGTGGAACTGAGAGCAACAGCACACAGCACACCCCATGACTGACACCGCACATGAAGCGATCCAGGACTCCGGATGAAGAAAGAATGAAAAGACTGCAGCTGGGATATACCCCGACTGACTGGACTTTCCTGGTACCAGACGCAGTATCGTACTGGGCAAACACAGCACAGCCTGGTCCACAGGCCAAACAGACACCGCGCCGAAATAGGTCCAGCATATAGCCGGGCTGTACCAGAGGTACAAACACTGGTCAAAAGTACTGGTGGTTTAAAATGATCAGAACAAATACTACACTTTGAATTTAGTCAAAGACCTAAGATTGGAACATAAAATACACAATAGCCTCAATAGGACATTTTCTGAAATATGGATTGTACTATCAGGAAAAGTATATCCCAAGCAAAGAGCACATCTTTTGAATTACGGAATTGCAATAGTAGGAAATCTAAATATAGAGTGTGGTGTGCAGGTCTGCACTAAGATACTGAAGTCTCTGCATGCCCTATACCAGGGCCAAATGCACTTACAGATACATTCTGAGATGCAACAATAACGGGACCTTCGTAGGTGTTTTTTCACTGTTTTTTTTTCAATAAACTTAGACCATACATGCAACCGGACTACGTGCGGAAAATTCCGCACGTCTGGCGCACGAGCGGACCCGCACGGTGCAGGCGGGGGAAATATTCACTCAAAAGAAAAAAGGGGKCGCATGGCTGGGTCAATGGTCACCTTCGTCCCGTTTTCAAATTCGTTGTGCAGGAGGGTAATGCCGCTAGCTGAAGGTCAAGACTGATGTCCCAGACAGCTTTTTGTGGCTATTTCTCAGGCCCAATTGGACGGAAAGAAAAATATGTACGACTGTGCTTGAAAAATATCAGATCCTTAGGTGTTGCACTCTTCTGTATCTGCAAGAGCAGAATTCAAAAAAAAAAAAAAAAAAAAAAAGGGAAACTGCCGCTGGTACGGCGCACGAGCAGATGCTGCGCCGCACGCCGTGCGGCGCATCAGACGGTATGGCGGATGGCGCGGTTGCAAGTATGATGTAGACTAGTCAGAATTTCTCGATTTGTGCATGTCATCCTTGTGCAGGGACCATGTCAATCTTCTTTGTACCGCTCTAATTTTCCCAAGGGAATGATAGGTCATTTTCTCTCCTATCAAAAACTATAATTCTCTCTCTCTCTCTCTCTCTCGCACACACACGCACACAATCAGATTGGTTGCAAATCCCGTTAGATGATTTTCACCATAAATCTGGACAATCTACTTCTGCTGTGGTACTAAATTAGTACTAATCAATCCATCCTGGGCTGTTTGGGGGGGGGGGGGGGGGGAGAAAAGCACCTGAGGGCCTCGCCGAACTATTCTGCAATCATGCAAAACATTGAATGTATTTTCAGCTAGAAGGTGGAAAGATACGTTTGCCATCCTTGGCATCTTATGGTTGGAACACCCACAAGACACTTTCGAAGAGAATTTTCCCTCGTAGTTGATATCAACGTACACGACGTAGAATTATGCGATGAGGGTAGTGCCAAAGTCAGAGGTACATTTCGAAAGCGGCTTCCTGACCATTCCAAAAGTAACAGCTCATACAGGATTTTCTCCCAGTGTCGAACTATTTCCTGAAGTACCAGTACTGGACCCATACATCGGTCCCGGGCAGTTTACCTCAACATGCTGCAACTTTCAGGGATCGGTCTCCAAAGCAAAATGGCTGGCAGCGCCAGCCAAAAGGAGGCCGTGCTGGTTCATTTTCTTTTTGCGTGCAGGGTGTTTCCAGGGTCGGAGAAAAGTGCCTCGGAAGTACCGGTGGCTTAAGACCCCAGTTCCCAAGTTCACTACACATTCAGCCATCAGACTTTCTTTCTCCCCATTTTGGGGATGGCACCCAATGCTCTCTCTCTCTCTCTCTCTCTCTCTCTCTCTCTCTCTCTCTCTCTCTCTCTCTCTCTC